TAGAGTGATCGTAACCAGCCTTACATTAAGTGTCCACATCCACAGTGTTATCGTGGGATAGCTCCGAAGAAGTCTACCACGTGCAGCATTTTCAAATGCTGAAAGAAGCATAAATGCATCAAACTTGCTTATCATTAATGCATGAATTAGCATCGTTTATTCCCAAGAGAGAAAAAAAACATGAATGGGAAACATTGAATTTGAGGTCGCAAATAATGTTTCGGATACATAAAGAGCAATGTGATGATTCAACTTGTTTTTCAGCAAGTGTGAAGATTGCTTCGAGACACTACTACCGAGACATCTGTCTTAACTGCCGCACACACATGGCCTTGGTGGAGGCGCTGGGGTGCTGTCTACATGGCGCAGACACTCAACTGCAACCTAAGACCGGTTCTATGTGTGTGCTATTTCCGTGAAGCAAAGAAAGGAAAACCATTAGTGAGGAGAGTGGGGGTCCATGTTGTTTTGAGGAGGATTTGAAAAGAGTAGGTTTCGTTAACTCAATAGAGGAAATTAATGCTTTTCCAATATCAGGAAGTATTCTGTCTAGGTATATATTTGTAGGTCGCTGTTAACGTGAATGGTGTATTTATCTCAACAGCGAACATAAAATCAAGAAATATCTTTTTTCTTACCGCCATACCCACTGAAAAAAACCAAAAACAGAATTACTTGTGATTCATTGTAATATATTAAAGATGACGCCCGTGTAAATGCATAAAGGTCTGGTTATTGGAAACTAAAGCTTTAAGCAAACACACATGCATACGCGCGCACTCACATAATCACAAACACACGACACACATAAAATACACAAAAATAATGTTGTCGGGTTCCAGGAACAAATGTAACAGGTTTTCTTTGAGGGCATGGAACGCATCCCATATAGTATGCAACCTCATAATATACGTTTGCCTTGACATATAACACTGTAAAGAAAATACATTCTTTCTCTCTTTCTACATTTTCTTCCGCAAACCGTAAGTCATGATCATGAAATATTCTGGGTCTCTGATGCATATTGAAATAGTTATTGGTCCGAATGCCAATATCGTCTGGAGCATAATGCTTCCTCAGTCAGCACTTTTGCTGTGGTCTTCGGTTTCACCAGATTAGTCTGTGTCTGAAAATGTTCCATCGTTGGCATTCTGTCCTCATGACATGACGTGACTCGATAAACCTAAATCCTGTATAATCAAGGTCAGTTTTTAAGGATGCAAACTTGATGCCAATATATATTGGATATTGACAATGTTTTATGTTTTAGACAAAAATTCCTGGCTATGAAATAGAAGTAGTGAGTAATACTCTTCAAACGCTGAAGCACATTTTAGCAAACAGTGGAAATAATAATGATAAATTTACATAGAATTATAGTCTGTACGCAGACACATGTCTCCTGTTACATTAAAACTCCGAAAGAAATGTGCGGTTTATAAAAAAGTACTTAATCAAAAGTTTTGAAATGTTATCCCAAGTAAGAAATAAAAGCACACCAGACATTCAGTTTAAAATTGAAAACCCAAGTTATCAATAATCGTACATCACTTTCCTCATTGTGACGTAGTTGCAGAGCTGGTGTTGACTTCAAATACCTTGTATTACGTAGACAATGATTAGCAGACCTACACATAATAGTGTTTGCTGTAGTTCCAGGCTAAGAAGATCTGATTTTGAAGTCTATGAGTCGAATGTGAATCTGTACCATAACTGTACATGTCTGTAGCATTACTATACAGCGTGGTCCTGGACACTGTACGCCTGTGCTCTCAATATAAATCAGGTGACACAATATTCTGAAACACATATCAGTCAGTGGTTGAATCCTGTATTGTGAAATCTGGTGTTAAAACATTTACTTAGAGAAGATTTATTCTACAAATTACGCAAGGGCTAAAAGGTTACAATTAAATGCTGAGGTTGCGATGAAAGCTGATTAGTAAGGGAGCGTCTCCTGCAATGTGAATGTGTGGAAAAGCTTTTAACCTTATAAATATTCATGTCCTCAGAGAGTTTGAAGATCGAAGTAGTGAAACTGAGGTGCGGGTGAGATTCTACATGTGACGTACATCAGTGAGAATTTGTCCCCGTAAATGCTGCTGATATCCTTGACGTACTGTATTTCATTCCATGATTTATCTACTTTCTCAACCTCGGGAACACAGGGATTACATGATGAAGACTCGCCTTAAGGAACGATGGTTATTGTTTCATCAGATCCCCCACTCTTACATTGTGTAAAGTGTACAAGATCACTAAACATTCAGTTTATGACGATTGAGTGTCCCTCTTCCTGAACTGAACTTAACTGAACTTTATTCACTCAGGCTGCAAACTGCAGCATTGGAGGTACATAAATAACATTTACATTTATACAACATAAAGGTATATACAAACGGTATGATAGGTGCAATGTACATCGAGCTAGTTACATATTACGTTTTTTGAAATTATTTCTAAAATATAGCCATAATTATTTTACAAAAAATTGATTTTTTTTTCAAGTTCCTAGCTTCTTGGTGTTAAATAAGATATTCATTTTATACACATTTGGTCTAATGTAATAATACTTCTGAATATATTTTTCTCTTTCTAATTCTAATTTGGGACATATAAATAAATAATGAAATTCGTCACCAATATCATTTAGGTTACACATAATACACTTTCTATCATTTACTGGGATTCGTCGCCATCTACCTGTCTCGATTGGAAGAAAATGATTGGAGGTTCGAAAATTTAACAAGTTGTTGTAATGCAGAAAATTTAGGTATGGTTCAAAATTGAGAGATGGATTTTTGAAAATGCTATAAGTGGTTGCTTTGGAAGAGGTGTTGACATTGAAGCCTATAAACGGTTACTCTGAATACGAACACTTGTTTGCTGTTCACAGTCCACAAAGAGAGTAGAGGCGGGGTACCTTCATGCGTTCGTACGTCACGACAAAGGGACGTGGTTCTATGCCCTACGAAGTCAAAATGTGAGTGGCTGTGTGCTTTTTGTCTGCATCATCACTAATAAACGTGCACCTGTGCACTATATGTCAGACTCTGTACCCTCATACATCGTGCAGGTGCACTGTATGTCTGTACCCTCACTATTCATCGTGCGCCTGTACCCTACATGTCTGTACCTACATACATCGTGCGCCTGTGCGCTACCTTCTGTACCTTCACTATACATCGTGCGCCTGTGCACTACATATCTGTACCTTCACTGTACATCGTGCGCCTGTGCACTACATATCTGTACCTTCACTATACATCGTGCGCCTGTGCACTACATGTCTGTACCTTCACTGTACATCGTGCGCCTGTGCACCTTCACTATACATCTGTACCTTCACCTTCACTACATCGTGCGCCTGTGCACTACATATCTGTACCTTCACTATACATCGTGCGCCTGTGCACTACATATCTGTACCTTCACTGTACATCGTGCGCCTGTGCACTACATGTCTGTACCTTCACTATACATCGTGCGCCTGTGCACTACATATCTGTACCTTCACTATACATCGTGCGGCTGTGTACTGCGCCTGTGCACCTTCACTATACATCGTGCGCCTGTGCACTACATATCTGTACCTTCACTATACATCGTGCGCCTGTGTACTACATGTCTGTACCTTCACTCGTACATCGCGCCTGTGCACTACATGCTGTACCTACTATACATCGTGCGCCTGTGCACTACTGTACACTATCGTGCACTACAGACCCTGTACCTTCACTATACATCGTGCGCCTGCACTACATGTCTGTACCTTCACTGTACATCGTGCGCCTGTGCACTCTGTACCCTCATACATCCTGCATGTCTGTACCTTCACTATACATCGTGCGCCTGTGTACTATATGTCAGACTCTGTGCCTGTACATCTTCACTGTACCCTCACATACATCGTGCGTGTACTATATGTTGTACCCTCATACATCGTGCAGGTACACAATATATGTCTGCCCCATCACTATACATCGTGCGCCTGTACCTACTCCACTATACATCGTGCGGTTGTGTACTGTGCAGGTACACAATGCCCATCACTATACATCGTGCGGCTGTGCACTGTACCCCTCACTATACATCGTGCGGCTGTGCAAAGATTGTGCGGCTGTGTGCTGCGTGCCTGTACCTTCACTATACATCGTGCGGTTGTGTGCTGCGTGCCTGTACCCTGCAGGTAAAATACATCTTGCGGTTGTGTGCTGTGCCCTGTACCAGATGTCACTATACATCGTGCGCCTGTGCATTACATGTCTGTACCTTCACTATACATCGTGCGGCTGTGCACTGCTGCGTGCCTGTACCCTCACTATACATCGTGCGCCTGTGCACTACATGTCTGTACCTTCACTACACATCGTGCGGCTGTGTGCTGCGTGCCTGTACCCTCACTATACATCGTGCGCCTGTGCACTACATGTCTGTACCTTCACCACACATCGTGCGGCTTTGTGCTGCGTGCCTGTACCCTCACTATACATCGTGCGGCTGTGTACTGCATGCCTGTACCCTCACTATACTTCGTGCGGTTGTGTACTGCATGCCTGTACCCTCACTATACATCGTGCGCCTGTGCACCTACATCGTGCGGCTTTGTGCTGCGTGCCTGTACCCTCACTATACATCGTGCGGTTGTGTACTGCATGTCTGTACCCTCACTAAAGATTGTGCGGCCGTCTACTATTAGATTGCAGTCTCAATACACATTGTGCTGGTATGCAATACATACCTGTACCCTAACTTCAACAACTCACCATGTGATAGCATACTCACGACTGTGTATTACAGACTTGTATTTTCCGCACACTTTGTGTGGTTGTGTACTGGAGGTATGCTCACTTACCGCTTAATGCGTGGCCTCCGACTATAAACCTTTACAGTTTCTCTTTTTTCTTCTTCTTTAATTTGGTTCTGTACACTAAAATCACCAGAACATCTACTCATAATTTACCCCATCTCTGACACGAACATAAAACACGAAACCGTCATGGCCTTTGTACTCTTTATTGCGATCGTTCGGGCGCCCCTCCCCTTCACCGCCCTGTTCGTTGCGCGAAGCAAAAAATGTAAGTGCTGCTTAGCAACGAATAACACGAAAACAGTAAAACGTGTGAAATCAATAGAAAACTCATCATCACACAGGTAGCGAATTACAACGCCACAAATAACGTGACACGGTTAAAACGTCGTAAACGGAAGAATGTATTTCCTTTAAATAAAGCTTTCTTTGCAGAAAACTTGAAAAGGGTTTCGGAAAAATGGATATGTACAATGCTGCATTATGAATGTACTACCCAAATGATATGTCAATCATATTCATAGACGTGATACTAAAACGCCTTTTCAAATTAGGAAACTCATTGAATTACGTATTTACAACAGTAATCCCTATTTGAAAAGGAAGGGGTCATATTTTAGATATCAAATTCATGAACAGGATTTTGACAATCATTTGAATGGAAACAGGACACACAATAACCTTATATATCCTTTGCATCCCCTTCGCTCGAATCCTCGTCGTTGTTGATCAAATTACACTCTGTACACTGTTCGCGAAGGGTTAAGCCCAGCTCGTACATAATTACATATGACATGGTAATTTACATAATAAACATCATCACTTCAACATGAAATACGGTATCCTCATCTTCCCTGTGGAATAATACATGGTACACGAGATCTTTGAAACAATTATGGCACTGTTATCATGAGCATGTGTAGATATAAAAATTCAAAGTCAAATTCAATAAAATATATCTAATCAGCACTTTTCCGTCCACACGTCTCCTTCACACATATTGCATTCCTTCATCACACTCAGATGCCCATGCTGGTTCAGGAAGCCCCACTCGACGGCGCCTGCATGGCAACACCCTCATCACAAGACGACGTCTCCTCCAGGCTGTCGGAAAATACATTGTTCTCCACGTGTTGGATGTCCTTATGGATACTGCCGTTTTGAGTAGTGCTTGCAGTGACCGGGGTGGGTCCACCATAGAACGCCCTGTTCGTCTTATTGTTTGCAGCACTTTGAATGGAAGTAGATGTGGCTTGGCGAACGTTTTTGTGAGGTTGACACAGGACCACGTACACCTTGGGAGCGAACAGACAGAACAGGGCTACAGTTGCACTAATGCTCACGCCCATACAGAGCGACGTCACCTCGATCTGGAAAGTAAAAAATGTGTCTTTCGTCAGATACTGTCCCAAATACTCGACATCTTCCAGGACCTAATTTAAACAGTGTTTTTGATAACATATTACAAAAGTGACTTTTTCAGTTGGAAGCGAATTTTACGAAAAACAATATCACAAACGTTATCGTTACTGCACCGAAAACAGTCGCTAAAAGGCTGAAAAACAACTGATACCAATATGAAGACATCACAATAAACAAAACATCATTTTGGGCCTCATGCGAGCTATTCTCAGAGCTGATTGGTAAGTTAAAGTTATACATCGTCAAGCTGGTGTTATAAAGTTATAACTTGACAATGCAACGTTATCGGAATAACTTTGGTTTAAAAAAATGCTTGTAATGTGCATTAGTCTACGAAAATGTTTACACTTTACCGCCTAATGCCGATACTCACTTTAAAATCATGATTGGCTCCAAAGTATATAGGAATGAAGGCGAGCCACACAATGCAAGTGCTGTACATAGTGAAGGCTATGTACTTGGCTTCGTTGAAGTTCTGTGGAATCTTCCTTGTTTTGAAAGCGTACACAGTACAAAGCACAATAAGAAAAATGTTGTAAAACAAAGATATGATAGTTGCTATTTGACTAGCACTGCACTTCAGAATGAGGAAGTCTTTTTGGTAAGTTATTCTGGAAACTGATGGCTTCTCAAAGCCTAACCACGTCAGTCCCCCAATCACCTGCACTGACACTAGACAGATGCAAATCAGTATCTGTGACTTGGGACTCGTATAGCTGGGTCGTTTCACCATGGCTTTGATACCTGTGCTGAAGATACGGTAAATTCGGTTGGTTTTTGTTACAAGCGCAGCGTATATGAAACTCAAGGAGACTCCAAGTCCAAGTCTTCGTAACGCGCAGAGGACAAGGGTTGGCTTTGCTAGCATGACGAGGGACGTTCCGTAGGACATAATTATCCCCAAAAGGAGGAGATAGCAGAGCTCCCTGCCTGACGCCATGATGATAGGTGTTGTGTTGAAAATGACGAATATTACCATAACACCAAACGTGCACAGAATCCCCAAACAGGAAAACACAACAGGAAGTATAAACCACAGACTTGCGGGGTCAAGATGCAGTTCCGGTAAGCGTGCGCATTCAGTTTTGTTAGGGTTTGGTCGTGAGCCTTCCGGACATGATTCGCAAGTGCTCTCGTCTTTCAGGTATTCGTTCTCGTTGCAGGCGATACAGACCCAGCAGCAAGGTCCGCTTGACTTGGTTGCCTCCCCTTGTTCGCATGGCTCGCTGCAGATGGACACCGGGATTTCACGAGATTTGAATCTCCAAAGTAGAGCGCTCTTATTAATCTTCAGACTGAAAAGTAGATTGTTTCATATTGGACATAGTGATATTTTTTTCGTGAACATGAATACAAATTTTAGAATTAGTATTTTAATGTCTCATTCTTATTTATTTGAATCTTGGTCGTGTTCGATGGATATAACCTCGTCCCGGATAGTAGATGGTCAGTGGCTTGATCTTACGTCTCATCATACCAAACAGAGAGAGAGTGAGTGAGTTTAGTTTTACGCCGCTTTTAACAATATTCCACCAACATCACGGCGGGGGACACCAGAAAAGGGCTTCACATATTGTACCCATGTGGTGAATCAAACTCGGGGCTTTAGAGTGACGAGGTAACGCTTTAACCACTAGGCAACCACACCGCCCCTAATGTAAACTGATATTATAGTTAAATCAATAATACTGAAACACAATGCAAGTGTGTACCGATACAGTTTCAGTTTTCCTCTTACCTCGTATCCCACTCTCCAATCTGCACATAGTCGTATTCGTTGTTTGCCATATTCTGATACTGGTAGATGTCGTAGCGTCCAACGCCGTCTCCGACGCTGTCGAACGTTACACGGTTGCCGCCTATACCTTCAAACAGACAAACACGACAGTATAGGTGAGTAAGGGAATGAATGCAGGTTTAGGCACCCAACGGTATCACGTCACCCTGAACATATATGAGTGTATCAATGAAACATCCGGATCAAAAGCACAATTCTGATTCACGATCAATAGACCATATATAGTTGGGTTCATTGTTTCATTTGTGTACTTTTTCGCACTTTGTATATGTGTATACATGCATAATGTATGATATTAATGTGTACACTCATAAATCACGTTTCTGCTGACATGAAACAAAACAATATAAGTCCATGCAGGTAGCAAAGGTACTGTAAGTCCCCATGGTCTCTGGTATGGGGATCTACCTTCAGTAGTTGGCGATCTATAGCCCATTTTTATACTGTACTGTCCTAATTTGAAATCCAATTTCAGAGAGAGATGCTAGTTTTATTTCTTCATACTGTGATATTCTAGCTGGTTTCCCTGTCCTTCGTTGACAGGTTTTTATAATTTACATGTATTTATGGTGAATTTAAAACTTGTTTTAGTCACGATATGGCTGAAATAGTGCCGATGTAACTTAAATCCTAACTCACTCACTCAAAACAATATTGGAATTGGTCAATATCAATGTTTCAAAATATATCAATGTTTTCATTTTTCTATCTTTGAAATTAATAGCGTTCATTCGTAACCCGTGAAGATCCGGGGTAGAATAGGTCTTCAGCAACCCATGCTTGCCACAATAGGCGACTATGCTTGTCGTAAGAGGCGACTAACGGGATCGGTTGGTCAGGCTCGCTGACTTGGTTCACACATGCCATCGGTTCCCAATTGCGCAGATCGATGCTCATGCTGTTGATCACTGGATTGTCTGGTACAGACTCGAATATTTACTGGAATATCGCTGAGTGCGGCGTAAAACTAAACTCACTCACTCACTCACTCATTCGTACACTGTAAACCTTCACCGTAAGGAATGTACCAAACATGTACAACAATGTCGACCGATGCTATCACTACGAGACGGTAACTTTCATGAGAAGGCTTGTTCACTGACATGAGAATACATTAAAGGTTAAACAGTTTAACAAGTCAACAAGCACCTAACACTAACCTTTGATCAATTGCATTCAAGTGAAACAGACCCGTGAATTGGTCTTCAGTAACCCGCTTGTCGTAAGAGGCGACTAACGGGACCGGGTGGTCAGGCTCGCTGACTTGGTTCATACATGTCATCGTATCCCAGTCGCGTAGATCGATGCTTATGCTGTTGATCACTGGACTGTCTGGTCCATATTCTATTATTTACAGACCGCCGCCATATAGCTAGAATATTGCTGAGTGTGGCGAAAAACTATGAAAACATATTGTTCTTCATTGTATAGCATAGCACTCAGGAGTATTCGAGCTATTTGCCAGTGGTCTGTAAATAACCGGTAACATTATTACCAGTGATTACCATTATGAGAATCGATCACAACAACTGGGATCAACCTATCTAGCGAACTTGTCCATCCGACCTCAATATTCGCTCCTTAAAGCATAGGTTACTGCAGACAAATTCTACCCATAATCCTCCCTCCTCCTGTGAGTCGTAGGGAAGATTGATTATAACCACCTATCTACATCGTATTGGTAAACAAAAGCAAGGACATATACATTATTGCTGCAGTTCATTGTATGTGCTTCTATTATACCTGAACAAAACATGCAATTAGCGTGATCAAACGGCACTGGCCATGACTTGTAAACATCATGGACTGCGGCATGGACTCCTGCCACGCCACTAATGGCTCTTCACCATACCTTGAGACGTCAACAGATTAGCAGTGGAATGGATGTCTTCACGGCAGTAATGAACCATTGTTGTAAATGAGTTTATTCATAGAATAAATACGAATCTAAATCTTTGGATAGACGTTTTTCCTGGGTATATTATTAGACATCCTATAAATAGGTTATAGCTCATTACATTAGCAAGATAGCATTTAAAACTAATAGAACTGATAACATATATGAGAATGGATTGTTTCTGGAGCATGTTTTGCAGTGCTCCCTTTGATCTATTATTCCTCATGTCCAGCAACTCCTGAGAGCTAGAGAGAATTCACGTGTTCTACTTGTTTATATCTATGCTTTGTGATGCTAAATGGGAGTACAAACTTTCAATAGATCTGATAGACCGGTTCTGACATGTTGTAAAGCTTATGTCAGTAATATGTCAACCGGATTGTGAGCGATTATAACCACAAGAACATACAAATCGAACACCAGGGCATCATCCGAGTATGATTTTAATCGATTTCATTAATTGTACGGAGTTGTAAGTGTAATATCGATAAAAATATTGAAAACGCATTCCAACTGTACATGCGTGTTCTATGCTGTGTAATTGATGGGTGTCAGCAGTATAAGGAATGGGATGAAGCACAGGATTCTGATAGGTAGCTATTCAGTCGTAAAATGTATTATTTTATACAAACAAATAATCAACGCTGAAAAATATTGAGAATTATCACTACCAAGCAAATATAAACACAAACGTGTACTGTTTGCAAGATCACCATGCATGTTTCATGGGGGAAGGGTGATGTAAGGGAGACAACTCTTAACATCAATGAAGCAGTCGTAAACTGCCTGTAAGGAGGTTTCCGGGAGAATTCACATACAATTCACCTACTAAGAGTCTTACAATACGGTTCATTGTCACTTTATGAAATGCAAAAAGAATGATGTATTTCAACTGTTCCGAAATTGCTTTTAGCTCAGACTGTTTAAGCTATTGGAAAGGATTCTGTTGCCTGTCCATTGCCTTCAACGGCAGAGAGTCTGATTTGTCTATCGAACTGACGCAACTACATATATCTCTTTCATTAGTGGGTAAGGCTTCAAGCTGGTTAGACCTCTGTACGACCACACTGAACGCCGGTTGAAATAGAACGATCGCCAATCGCTAAAGGTCCATGTGACGAATTTTGTCCGTGCGAGCTGCAGAACCTATTCATGGTCAAATAATTATTTGTGATAGTATGTTATATAGAGGAATATTGACCTCATCAAACTACGACCCACAACGCTAAAAATACGTGTACCGAAATTGTCACTAGCTGCAGAACCTATTCTTGTTGAAACAGATACTTGTGACAATGTGTGGACATAAGGCTGTGATACCTCGAAAGATGAACCGGGCCAGTTGAGACGAACAAGGTCAGCCAAGTTGTTAAAATTGTTACCAAGACTGCCCACGAATCAGATAGAGGGATTGTGATACTGTTACTTACCATTGAAGGACACGTTCCTGATGAACCAGAGAAGCTCCTGGCCTGCCAGCTTGTTGATGTGTTTACACAGCTTGAGGTTCCGATGATAGCACTTACTCTTCAGCATGTCCTGTACAGCATGGGCGAGGGCATACACGGAGTCGATCACAAACTGGACCAGGCCTTCCTGTATGTAATCTACCTTGCTGTCCTTCAGACTCTCCGTACCTGGGACATACAACGAATCGGAATTGAAAATGGTATTATACTCAATGTAATCTCAAGCTCCATTCTAAAGCATATAAATCTGTATTGGTTTTAATCACACGTCTGTTGTTTTGTTTTATTTTGACGAGACACGATATTGTGTATTTTTCATAGTATTACCAAACTCGGCGAGCATTTAGAGGAGCGACTGAAATGAACGCTGCAGTAAATGATAATCTGTTTATGAAACTGTTGCATTATTCAATTAAACGCTGTACCTGTTTCAGAGCATTTGTAGAAGGTATTTTGTTTAAATTTTTTGTCCCAGATATATAGAAAATGTATCACATATAGAAACTTTCCACGAGACCAACATGTGTTGCATTTGAGATTACACGTTACCACTTCTTGTGTACGTTTAGTTACAAGTTACAGATCTGCATTCTTTGTCCACATCCGGGATTTGAACCCTCATTCTAATTAACCTAAGTAAGACACCCAATAGCTAGCAAAGTCAGCGATATAACTGATCATGACTCAGCTACCGCTGCTTCCACAAAACCGAAAGTGTGCCAACTGGTAGTCGGGATGAGGAATAATATCTAGTCCTGCTGCCAATACGGATGATGAGGAAGTATACACTCTAAGGGTGGAATGATACACTCTGATGAAATGGTTTATCCTTACACCTGTCAGAGGTTATTGTACTGGCTTTGGTCGGATTAAAATAAAGGCAAAGTTGAACTTTCGACTGGTGCGATGAACTGATGGATGTGCATGGATGGATATATCTATCGGAAGCTGGATGTTTACGATTGACAAGCACTTTGAACTTCATTTATGTCTCCTTGCTTGGGCCTGGATTTGGGTCAATGTTGGCCCTGGGTGGGTTTGATAGGAGGATGCATTGATGTATATGTTTCATTATATCATTGAGAGGATGCATACCGTCACATCTGTTGATTGTGGAGGGTTTTAAGCTGCAGTCAAACATCTCTTCCCAGTAGTCCTTAAACCATAGGTTCCGTGAGTTGTTTTCCGGTTTCAGATTCAGGAAGTATTCATCGAACTCTGCAAACACCAAGATTCCATTAAACTTTGTCCATACAACTTACTTAAGGTTAAAGCAATCGCTCGTCACCATTAAGACCTGGGTTCTAAATCCCATATAGGTACAACGTGTGAAGCCCATTTCAGGTCTCCACCGCCGTGATATTGCTGAAATATTGCTAAACTCACTCACTCAGTCATTTTTAGAGCGCTTTACTACCCTATAGCTACTTTCCAGGAAGTTCTAGTTTCCAAAGTGGTTTACATCCAAGAAATCCTTACTTTCCGGGTTCCCTATTTTCAAGAGCACCCTACTTTCAAAACGCCCTATTTTCCGACGATCGCTGTTGCGGGCGTCAATAACTTTGTGATCATACTCCCGTAACTTCTCCAACTATTCACTGTTGTGCGTTCCAGTCCTGTTTCCTTCGAACACCCGTCAGAAGACATTTAATGCGTGTTTAGATTGTGACCTATTACACCAGCGTTTGCTATAATTATGTAAAATCTCATCTAAATATTACGATGGACACTTCGGCTATTGCATGCGAATCGTGTACTCCCTAAATATAATTGACATTGTTCACTGGATCAATCATTAACGTATCTGGTCCTCAATACATTATAAAAGGCTACCGGGATGTAGATTTGGGATTGCTGGCTTAAAGATTACAAACACGCATACATACATCAATGAAATAGACATACATCTGGATTAGCAGTGTACACGTAGAACAAAACAGTGAGTGAGTGAGTTTGGATCGTTTTAGACCGCTTTTAGCTTCGAATGGGATTCGCATATTGTACCCATGTTGGGAATCGAACCCGGGTCTTCGACGTGACGAATGAACTTTTTGACCACTTGACTACTCCGTCAATACAGAACACGATCGACCATGATATATTGTAGGCATGTACTATCATGAGAGGCTACTACAGCTGAAGAGGTCGTTTTCGCATGTGGTACATTTCTGTCAAATGAAATGTACTCTAGCCAGAATCAAAGTTCACACGAGGACCCCAGCTTGACAAAGAATGTTTGATATGTCAATTCACCAATTCGCGAAACCGGTTGGGAAGTATGGCAGGAATCAATTTCGAACACTCGGGAATAGACCAGTCATAATTACCCAAATGCGCGAGCTGGAAGGAATCGGTTTCGAACATTCTGGATTATAGACCAATTACGATTCCCCAATGAGACCGGTTAGGAAGTCTGGAAGAAATCGGTTTCGAATATTCTGGAATAGACCAATCACGATTGCTGCTCCGCTCAAGTTCATTTGTGAGTGCAGATTTCGCTCGTTTAAGGTATACCTGGACTGTATCTACGACAACGACCCTTTCAGCGTGAGCAATACTGTACGCTTTACCAGGAATTATCTGTCGCTTGGGAAGGATTGTGACGGTGCCCTCAGCTGCCACCTCCTGCTCGAACACCGGGTGTACCTTGGCACCCCAACTGTCGCTGGCCAGCAGGTTGAGGTGGGACGTCCTGTTCAGCTTTACCAACGCCTTCAAAATGTCGCGACAGTTGTCCTCGTTGACGAACATGACGACCGCTCGAGCATTGTTGTCGTCCTTGAACAATTCCTCCACGATGTTCCGGAACGTCGTCTCGTTGACTGACCGAGGGATGCGCAGCGACTTGGATACACACACACCTGAAACAGAGAACAGTCACGTCAAAATGTGATGCGTTTACCTGTAGTCTGTTAGCAACATGTTGGCGATGTATTCGTGGTATTTTCAAAGTATGTACGGTATAATTATTGCGAAGTCGCATTGAGTCCATGGTGTATTCAAGAAGTTCTCGTTAGTTTGATTGAAATCACAAAATTAAATTGAATAAAAGTTGTTTACACCACGTAACAGATGTATGTTCAAACCTGTTTTTCATATTTCACAAACATAGATGGTTGACAAATATATGTGAAGCATACAAAATATTTTACGCAAACATATGTACATGAAAGCTGATAGGTATCTGAAAGGGACGATATACAGTTTATTTCTAAGAAAATAAGAACAAATCCAGTTTTAATATAGATTGAATAAGTACTTGACATGTTTATACATGGACGATGCGTGTAGTAGACGGGTTTACACATACGTAAAATATCTGCTAGACAGGTTTACACATACCTAAAGTAGCTACTAGACAGGTTTACACATATGTAAAGAATTACAAGACCTGTTTACACATACCCAAAATATGTACTAGACAGGTTTACACATACCTAAAGTGTGTACAGAACGTGTTTACACAGACTTTAAGTGTGTACCAGCGCGTTTATGTACAGTGCATCTTTTCACACACCGAAAACATAAATTCCATCCAAATGTGTTTCCAAGACTTGGCCAACCAAACGTCTTTGGTGCCGGGAGTTATTTGTTACCCATAGAAACACATTTTTCGCAATATGTTTCTTGTATAACATATTTTTAGGGTATTCGTTAAAAACACAGATATACAATATTTACACTAGTCCCTAAGAGGGCGGTGGGATAGCCTAGTTGTTAAAGCCTTTGCTCGTCACGCCAAAGACCCGGGTTCGATTCAACTTATGGGTACTCTTTGAAGCCTCTTTATAAAGTACGTAAGTCCCGAAACATTCAAAGGACATTTAAATTTACCAGCTGTTTTAAATGTAGTATTGTTGTTATTTTAAATATTCGGCTAAATCTTTCTACCATCGCCAGTGGCTGAAGGGATGATATAAATCCAGCTAGGGTCGGTGCAGGTAGCGAAAGTAATGTAAGTCCCCATGGTTCCTAGTATGGTGATCTACCTTCAGTTGTTGGCGATCTATAGCACGTGATTTAGACTGTATTGTCTTCTTTAATTGGAATGTTTTAGCTTTGCTCGCTAGTTTTATATGATATCTGTGATTTTCTAGTATTTTTACTGTCCATCGTCGACAGGTTTTAATCTTCAAAATGTTTTCACTTTTTATTGTATAAGTTGTTTTCGTCACGATATGGCCGAGATATTGCCGATGTGACGTTAAATATTTACTCACTCACTCACTCACTCACTCTTTTATAAATATTGAACCGCCGTGATAATGGTGGAGTAATACTAAAACCGGCGTACAACCACACTGATTCACTCACTCCTGCTAGCGGACCCGTGAAGATCCGGGGTAGAATAGGTCTTCAGCAACCCATTCTTGTCATAAAAGGCGACTATGCTTGTCGTAAAAGGCGACTAACGGGATCGGGTGGTCAGGCTCGCTGACTTGGTTCACACATGCCATCGGTTCCCAATTGCGCAGATCGATGCTCATCACTGGATTGTCTGGTCCAGACTCGATTATTTACAGACCGCCGCCATATACCTGGAATATTGTTGAGTGCGGCGTAAAACTAAACTCACTCATTCACTCACTCCTGATAGCGACAGTTGGTCTGGTTCCGAGTTTGTTTCAGCTTGGGTCAAATTGACCCGATCCAGACATACCAAAGTTGCACAGTTAATGCGGTTACATATACTCTGCAGATATAAACCAGTAGACAGCCAGCGAGCTTTTTGTCTGCCAAGAGCTGTCATTAAACTCAGCGAGAAACTAGTGGGTTTTTTAGATTTGCTTCAAACTTAACAATTATGATGACATCATTTTCTGGAAACAAAAAAGAAGTAAAAAACTCTGTAAGTAAAAAGGAAGCTTTGGATGTGCCAGAAACGATCTTTTTATTACACGTCTGTTTTTAATATCAACGCTGATAGGCTCCACGTCAATGGTAGTCAATAATTGGGTCTTATCTACACATAAAACAAGGCATGGACGTCATCTTACCAGCGTCATTGTGAGCGCTTACATTTTGAAACGCACCTAAAATATCCTACAACCGCTAAGCCTCTGAATTCTGTCTCACTAATGCACCGCGGACGCTTGTGGTGTGTAGGTAACGGTTACCTCTTTCCGGGCTGGGACGGTGGGGTAGCCTAATGGTTAAAGCGTTGGCTCGTCACGCCGAAGACCCGGGTTCGAATCCCCACATGGGTACAATGTGTTAAGCCTATTTCTGGTGTCCCCCGCCATGATGTTGCTGGAATATTGCTAAAAGCGGCGTAAAACCAAACTCAGTCAGTCAGTCAGTCTTTCCGGGCTATAGTTCGATATCAAAACCCTGTACGAACACAGTGAACCCGTGCTGACCAACATTTGGTCCACGTCAAGATCGGTTGACCACTATCAGCATTGACTAGTTTACTCATTCGGATGACCAGAGCTGAACATGCCTACCGAACCTATGAGACACGGTTCTCCGGTTAACAACACGAAATCATGTCATCGTTAAAGTTAATTATTTAATTATTCATTCTGTCGTGACTAAAAGCAATCAATAAATATACTTAACAAAATATTGATAATGAACAATACATTCTGATATTGCATTAGGGAAATTTAAGTTTTGTATTTTGTATGTATGTTTGTCTGGAAATATAAACTTTGTTTTGCGCGTCATTTTGAAATTCCTGTCCTTTTACAAGAAACGTTACAATGGTAGTTTTGTCAAGCATCGAAAATCAAGTTAACCTTCAAGGTGAATTTTCCCACCCCATTTTTCTGTTAACGTTATTTCGAAAGTTGTATTTTAGGCGGAACTGACATAAGTTAACCTATATTTACTGGAATAGCGGTTTCCAGTATTGAATTTTGATGAACACAAATCTCATAACCGTGATTTAAATAAAACAGGATTGCTATACGTGTAAGAAGGCTATTCATTAATTAAGGCATATATAACATCATTTGGGGAATTATGTAATTTGTTCCTTAATTTCAGAAATGCCCTCTTGATGAAGTTGCCTTCATATTACACAATTTGGTCACCGACTTTTTGTTATTTCTTTTCAACTCATCATTGAACATACAGGTGGTTGTTTTTGATATAAAGGATATTTCTTGGCGATGAAGTGATGGATGAGTTTTCGTAATCACTGCGATCATAATTACAGTGCATTATCATGAATTACGCTCATGGTTATCAACCATTCCAACGCTCCAGGTTTCTAAGGGAATTGATAAACGTGCACAGAACACCGGCTCAGTCCTCGGTTTGTTTTAAAGGGGTGACACAATTGCAACATGGAGTCCGATAAGAACATCGTCGTTTATCTGGCCGTAACATGTCCCAAATCCCTCCACTGTAAACGGCTACTATGATTACAGACGAGTTCTCGCAATCAAATAGTACTTATCTCCCTTTGCTCACAAGCCCGGAACCAATAGCCAATACCGAAGTGAGCTTTTCTGAGTTATGGCGCATTAAGGTCTGATTTATCGTGCGTGTAAGTAGGAGTTTATGATGGTATCGGAAGCAGGGATCTACGAAGCTCATAGAGGTCCACTGCGATAGCATAATCAAACAGAAGCTAGGTTCCAGGCAGATTGAACGACCATACGTCCCATATGGCGTATAAGCCACAAATCATCGACGCTGGCGCCTGTGTTTGATTGACACCCCTTGATGCTTTCCAACGTGAGTTCGAATCCAGGCCCTTCATAATTCAAGTCACGTTTCTCTCAAACTGTTAAGCCTCATCCTGAACGATTACAGGTTAAAAATAATCAACGTTCTTCTGTAGTCGGCGGAACTATGGTCGGATCCTTTGACCTCAGCTGCCTTGTGCTGAAGGTCACAGAACCAAATGACACATTCACGTGATAATTGGAACGTTATTGTTACTTTAAACTTTTTCAGGTGTACCCGCGGGACCAACTCTTTTTATGGGTGCGTGTAAAATGTTCACATTTTAAATGTGAAAAGACGCGTTCACACTTAGCTTGTAGCGTGACTAATACGAAGTTGTAGCTACCTTAACCAGCGTTTATTGTAAGGTTCTGAGCATAACACAGAAGGCTAAATTTTGTCATTGTAAATATTGCGGCTTTGCTTAGAGGTACACCCACAAAACCATGAGCCAGATTGGCAGCTTGTTTTGTTGGGACAAGACAGGAGAATATGTAGGGGTCTGTAGCCTTTAAAAAGACGAACGTGCAGTGGTTATTTACCTGCCGAAACAACGTTCAACTACACAGGACATCCATGAGAAGGCAACACTCAACTCCCTTCTCTATAAGATTCAGAACATATCAGTCAACCCTAGTGTGTACCCATGTAGGATTTTAATACACTTTACGTTCTTGTCTGCCGATTCACATTTACTACATGTATAAATGTTACACTTACTCCCTGTGTAAACCATAAAATAGTTGAATCCGTCCACGATTATATAACCAAGACACAACGCTTCAAATTTTCTCAGGAAAATAATTAAACTTATTCAACAACCTTCTTATGATTGATTTATATTTCTACAATGGCTTGTTAGACACACACAACTGTAACTCTCTAACTTATGACTACTTACAGAATAGTTGTATTCCTCCATTTCATGTTGTATTATACGTTGCATGGGAGCGGTGTTAATATAAGCAGTTAATGCTTGTTCACCAATCCCAATTTATCTTCATGAATAAAAATATGTTTAAATCAAATGTTACACTAAGTTAGAACACTAGGCATGGCTGAACACTGAAACATTCTGAGCTTAAGTAGACAGGATGTACAGTACATCCTGAACAGTTTTGTATGCATTTTGTACGCTTTCCATATTTACAGGCTGCATTTTGAACCAAATGCACGAAAGTGGAAAGTGATAGGTATTCTGTTGCAAACCTTAGCCGTGCAAGAGAATTCCATGACGACAAAATATTATTATTGTTCAGTGCTGAAACGGCTCAATACAACTTCGACACCGCACAAACCTGCGAAAAGTCACCCTCCCAGTGTTGTCATAATGCATCATGACTTTACCAGGACAAGAGAAAGCATCCTTCTGTGTGACATAATTCATATTGCAGGGCAGTTGTAGGGGAATACTGGGCCGAATATTGTTTGATGTACCTGTTTTAAGAGCGTGCCATGTTAAGATCTTTTCGCCATTTTATCAGACCACAATTTGTTCATGGTGTAGCCCTGTCCGTCATTGCATGCAAAGATATAGTTACTACCCATGACGCGACGCCGTCTTTTTACTTTTTATGGCGAACACGGTAATATACATTCTTTACACGGTTGCTCTGTCTGCTCTGCGTATATGCCCTCATTGTGGATACTTCAAACTGTATGACCTTGCGACAAGATACTGCAAAATAACAGTAAACCTAATTATTAAATCACACTACCTGTAAAACACTAATGGCCACGACTGGTGATTTACGGTTCAAAGACTAACGAGCACGCCTGTAATAGTACTGAGACGTAGTCCCCGTCCGCGTTAGCACATTTCCTAATTAACGAGTCACGAACATCAATTAATGCATTCACGTGTATCGTTGTCTGGACGGTAAGGTTAATGGACAGACAAGGTTGCGCTATCCGTATTTGCAAGAACGGGATAATCAGAGACTAGTATAACACTTCCATGAGGCATGGTCTGTGGACATGAACGTGCCAGGCGTCCGACCATTTGTAGACTATGTGACTGAGCAATGGGTAGAGGGTGTCAGCCGCCAGATATGGAATTATGGACATTGTGTACAGTTATGTATGTTATGTATTATGTATGATTGTGATAAGTAATTTACCAATTTATGTATGCTGAACATAAAAATACAGATGATAGTCCACTTGTGTCTTTCTTGGCTTAATCATCTCGGGTACTTCCCTGAACGTCGGCAGGTATTGTCTAAGGTAGGCAAAGCAATGAGGCGTGCTAATCCTGAGACAATGGGGGATTATGGGGACACCTCCTAATCTTAGGTGAGCGAAATTCAGAAATTCCTGAAGTGAGCGAGAGTTCAAATCGGACAATTGTAATCTCCCCCACCAACCCATCATTGTCTTGCTAATTAACATGGTCTGGTGATCCTCTTACTCCTTAAATAAACAACTTGCCCGACTGGCAAAAGAGAAACACCCCAACACCTCTACCCCCACCCTAGCCCCACACATCATACCCAAGCTATCTGTCACCCCTGCTTATAAAGGAACTCATTCATTCACTTTGAATATTGACACTGTATTGTATTCAAGGTCGTGGAGCTTTTTATGTCTGTCCTTATTCATCTCTGTTGACGAGAAATCGAAATCCCTCAAAATGAAAAAGCTTGCATTAACAATTTTTTGTTTTTAATTACCATTTGGTTTGGCACATTCCCAGTTAAGCAGAATGCATTATGTGGCAAGAGTTTTATACATGCATCAATAAACTGATGAAATATGCATGATCGTTTTTGCCCCCTTCATTAATGTTACATTAGAAGCCCGCACCTCAACAGCACTGTGGAAACAACAACGCCGCCCTAGGGTTTCAGAGCGTTCCCTTCATCCACAGTCCAGCATATGTTAACAGAGAACAGACGCACACTCCATGGCACCATTCGTCTTCATTTTCAGTTTTACGGACCTTGTACTTGGCGAAAACATATTTGAATGGATTGTTCGATTCTTGCTCGAGGACATAATTTTAAGAATGTAGCTTTGTAACTTTCAAACAAGAACATGACATCCTGTTCCATGATGCTACAGGGTCATTTGAGGACGTATTTTGATAATATAGCATGGTTATAAGTGAACGGTGGGATACCCCAGTGATAAAAGTCCATCCGGGCAACTAACCCCAAACATGAGAAGTCCTGATGTTTGCTAGGAACATTGTAGTAAACATTTTATCATCACTCATATATGCGTGTATTAGCTTAAAGGTCAGTGTGATGTGTGACTTGTTTCTAACCGAAAACCTCAAAATTCCCACGTTGTTAAAAACCTGCTAATTCACCTTCATTTCGGATAGGCGCAGATGATGTTCACTAACGTAAGATTTTAGAAAGAAGTATTAAATGTGCAATGTATTATCTAGCTGGAATATTGCTGACTTTGGCGTTAAGAACAAACCAACCAATCAAATCATTACCATCATCACCATTAATCGTTTCATCATAATATATTATTTTGATACCTGATTTTATTGCTTTCTCCTCAAACGCCCCGATTCCCTTTTCCCCGTAGGTGCCGTCATCAGCCAAGGTGTTGACGTAGTTCCAGCCGAACGCCTTGGCTATGTCCACCATTGCTTGGGCCTGATATGTGTCAGGGGCGACAACTCTGGAGAAATACTCAAATCTCGTCTTATCGCTGAGGTCCACGCTACTAGACGCGTAGCTGATTTGTGGGATCTGAAACACAAGCATAAACATAATTATAATACTGACAAATATCAACATATTATGTTTTGGGGCCGAACACGTATTTATGCATTTATGCATATTGATGTATTTTTCTTTATACATCATGCATTTACTACCAAACCCAATTTCAAAAACTGAAAATTGTGTTTCTTCGATGTGAAAGATAAATATCAGGTATTTGAACATTTTTTTTGAAATTTGAAATTATCTCCAAAGTAACAAATCAATATGACTAGTTGAATATAGTTCAAGCAGAACTGAACTGGGATCCTTCAGCGACCCAAGCTGACGCAACTACCATCGTACCAACGATCAGGGTTAATATTGCACCTGGGTAGGGTCGGAGTATCGAAAATATTTATAAAACAAAATTAAACTGACTATCCTTTTGGATTTTAGTTTTAAAAAGATCTGGTTAGACCATAATAAATTATTATATTTGTATACCCGCCTGTCTAAATACAGAACGACCCCACTCATATAACGTGTTTTTCTCAATACATGAAATGTTTCCTTGTCCCTTTGCATGTTGGAAGATACCATTTACTTACATAGCCGACCACATGCCTCCTGGGAATAATGCAACCGTTTATAATTAATTTAGTTTCATTTTTTTATAAATCAAATAAATATAAAATTTAAATCACCCCAACTCACATAAATGAAAAGTTTTAAAAGTCAAGGAAACTGCATTTGCTATTTTTTTAGTCTCAGCTGGCCGCAAATAATTGACCAGTAACAAAACAAGAGCAAATTGAGGCCGCAGCTTGTATAAATTTTTGTGTGTTAATTAGTTTTTCGTATCAGCAAAATGTGTGCAGCACACACATGTGTTATAGGGTATTTGTTTCATCTGTGTTTGGAAACCTGAAAAACAGAACCGACTGGGAGATCCTGGATTGAAATAAACCCCACGAGATACAGGCCTGCATACGTAAAGAATAGACAGGGTAGTCATTCAAGTCTCTTCGAACTCCGACGGTTGTTCATGTTATTGGTATATTTGGTTCTCGCTGGAACATGTAGAGGCAGTTTCGATATGGACAGATTATTGCTGAGTGCTCTGTTAAACACCAAACAAAACACCAATGATCAAGCAAACAAACATGCATACACACATTTAGAAGCACACGTGTGGTCTCACCTCAAGCAAGTGCGTTTGTTCAGAAAAAGGGTACCCGGTGGGATAAGTCATATGACTATTTACCTTCTTGCACCTAACAGGCAGCTTGGGTTATCCGGGGCAATTAAGGCCCTCGTGGTGTAAGCGCTTGGAGCAAGTCCCGTGGAGTTCAGAACTACACGTGTGGCCTTATTATCATATGCATGCATATGATATAAGTTCGACACAAATTAGACAATGTGATTTTTTGCCTGGAATGATTATTTTGTTGTATCACATTGTGTACCATTCTTTGATATCTACCCACAGCCATGTGGTAAAGTGAAAATGGGCGTTAGTGTGTCATGAACATTCTCTATGCGAGCATATGTTGTAAGGGGCTATTCTGTGAAGGATCGACGTTGTGGTGGTGCTGTGTGTTCCCGATAGTGTACGCTGTCTCGCTCTTTGGTCTGGTGCTGATGGTCTGGGCCACGTAACACGATTAAACGCACCTTAATTATAGTTCCAGCAAGCAGAGGAAAGAAACTGTTCCAGGAAACCCGCGAGGAGAGACTGATTCAATTATTCTCGAATTGAAGGGAAAAGAGTCAGCGTAAATTCGAAAGTTAAACATTTCGTTTACTTTGTTCCTAACTATCAAACTAAATCGATTTACATACTTATTTTAGCAATGGCGGAATATGTGTATATGTGATGTTGATAAGAAATATATTGAATTGTTTGCCTCAATGTTTGAGTTGGAGCAAAACAATTAGTAAAATTTGGAATAATTGGTTGGTTGGTTGTTTAACGCTGCACGTTATTTGGCAGTGGTCTGTAAATAATCGAGTCTGGACCAGACAATCCAGTGATCAGCGGCATGAGCATCGATCTTCGCAACTGGGATACGATGTCATGTGCCAATCAAGTCAGCGAGCCTGACCACCCCATCCCGTTGGTCACCTCTTGCGACAAGCATGGGTTGCTGAAGACCAATTCTAACCAGGATCTTCACGGGTTAGTTTGGAATGAACTCTACTGGACAGAGTCAAAAGTGAGTGTATGGCTCTGTATTTGTGGGTACCATGCGTATAACACCGCTTTAAGCAACATTCGTGACTTAATTAAGGTGGTAATACGCCCGAAGTGATGCCGGTCTCAGACATTTACCACCTGGGTGAAAGTCACCGGTATGGCGCTGACAAGCGTAGAAATATATTCAGGACTCGAACCAACAATCATACGTTTATGGCGTGTCAAAGGCACGCTACTCTGCACAGCTGATTGCGGAGCCTTATACGTCTGGGCCACCCGTTCTAACTGTGACTGTCAACTGAGCATGTGTGACGTTATGGTTGGCAGACAGGGGAACAGGCACTTAGTAATATTCGTGCTCTATGCTAATTTGATTGTTGTTTAACGCCGCACTCGGCAATATTCCAGCTGTATGGTGGCAGTCTGTAAATATCCCAGTCTTCACCAGACAATCCAGTGATCAACAGCATGAGCATCGATCTATGCAAATGGGATACGATGATGTGTGTCAACCAAGTCAGCGAGTCATAAAAACGATAGTCACCTCTTACCACAAGCATGCGTGCCGAAGACCGACAAGGGGACCTTGAAACATACATTATTGTTTCCTTGACTAATAAACTGTCTTGGTCCACCTTGACATTGACCTTACACCCACCTTCAATTGTCCTTATACAAAATCTACCATTTCCTGCTGTGTGTTAGTATGTTCATGTTTTTATTTGTCTAGCAGCATGAATAATTCCAATTGATGTGTAAACTGCCGACTGCATAAAGTATATACATGTACATGAAATTTGTTTTGAACCAACAAATTAAGAAACGTTCTTAGGCTGAACAAACACTGCAAACCGAAGGTCCGAAATATTACTATAATACCAGCATCAAATCACGATCGGATTAAGTCGTCACTGGTTTGTTTCGTGTTTAACCACCATCAAGCATGGGTGTAACTTTATTTTGTCCGGTAAGGTACTTCATAAATATTACAGTCTGCACATGTATCCACGTACCTCCTTTTTATTCAAAGGACCATTCATTGATTCAAGACGGCCATTTAACTGTGCATCAGATGGCGTATCTAAAGCCTCCCCACACGCAGATACCCACTGGTCATTACAAGACTACTTAGTTACATCATCATACAATTCCTTCCCCCCTGAATAGTGTCAAACCGGGCTATTCCATCCGCTTCATTTGCAACTTCACCGAAGAGAAAGAAAATTTCTTTACGTGGGATCGATCGGAAATTAAATTATCATACGACGTCCCTTAGTCTCTGATTTTACAGGAGAGAATGTTATACAAAACAGATCAGCGTGGGCGGTGTCACGATATATGAAGTTCTGTCATGTCATGCAGAAACAGTACGCTCTAGTGGTCTTCCTGAGCAAGATCTGGCCAGAAGTTCAAGCCTATGTTACAAGGGTTCCTTCACTTAGCATGTCAAAGTTTTTCGCACAAAGAACACCAACCGCGAATTAAGGATTATCAGTGAGTGAATCTTGCCCTATATAATATCCATTGTCCTTTTTGTCTTATAGAAAGAAATCACATTCTATTTCAGGCAGTGTTACATAAACTCTGCTACAATGTCATGGACGGCGAATTTCATCATGTTCTATACATTTTCAACAATGTATTTTAGGACGTCATTTTAGTTTGGGGCACAAAAAATTGCTTGACATTTACTATCATCATTGAGTGAGTGAGGGATTGAGTCTAGTTTTACGCCGCACTCAGCAATATTCCAGCTATATGGCGGCGGTCTGTAAATAATCGAGTCTGGACCAGACAATCCAGTGATCATCAGCATGAGCATCGATCTGCGCAATTGGGAACCGATGACATGTGTCAACCAAGCCAGCGAGCCTGACCACCCGATCCTGTTAGTCGCCTCTTACGACAAGCATGGGTTACTGAAGGTTCATTCTAACCTCGACCTTCACGGGTCTATCACCATTGAGGCAAGCAGTAGTTTTCCTGGTGAAACGTAATTGTTATTTCTTTAACATGTTCCAGGGTGATATTACAATAAATTCATTCCCTCTTCGCATTTCGTGCAATGAATGGCTCGTGTTTTGTCACGTCTGTATATTCACGGTCCTCCTCCAGAAACTTCCTCCATGTCCCGTAGAAAAAGGAAGTATTCATCTGCACCACGTAAACTAGAAAGATACCGTTGGAAACTGCAGAATTCCTGCAAACTGCGCTATGGCACTGGTACCGTTATACATGCTACGTGTACAAGATACACAAGACGCACTGGAAAACTGCAGGCAAAATACACTATACAGCGATGCAGTGTTTGTCTTTAACGCTGAAAAGCTGCAGGCACTAAGGGCCCAGAACCATAAAAAGTTGTGGGTCCTAATCAGAACGTGTAGGACTATATTTCAGCTACAATATAAGTATTGACCAGCAAACAAAACATGCGACGACTAACAAACTGAGTTAGACAGTTCATTTTAACTCTAGTGACATCCATGTCAAGATCCAAGTCTTCTGAAAAGTCTGTAATCTAAATTGCTTCCTCGTTTCACTTATAGACAACAGCTGCTGATCGAGATAAAAACTAGAAATTACTGAATATTTTCTGAAAAATAATGCTCTTCGTTATTGGGGCTGGGTTTTCAGTCGGCTCCGGGCCAAAGGACCGACGTTCATTTCGAACGCTGCACCGATGTTTGTTGTGGTACCAGTTGAAGCAAACAAGAAAAGGGTTATTGGTTCCGATGTATTTGATACGGATATCATTGTTGTGTTCAGAACATTATTGTTTAAGTGGTCATTTGTTCCGTCTGCTAATTGTTGGACATACCTAATTCTGAAGTGTATAGAGTTACTT